TGTACACGTGACATATATATACATACACACATATATATATATATATATATTAGTTGTATTTTGCTTTCTGTATAATATTATTAAACCCATGTCTTTATCATCTTAAATTATTCTTAAAATACTCGAATATTCGTAATAAATTATTTGGTAATTTTTTAATTTTAATTATATAAATATTCCTAATTGCCTAAATTTTTCAATGATTACGATTACCTAATTACAATTAATTATAATTATAATTATAATTACTTTATGGGTATAATCAGGCATAAAATAATATTAAGATATTGAAATTAAAAATTATAATTAAAGAGTAAAAGCAAAAAGCATTTGTAGGTTTCATCATTTCATAATTTCCTACTAATAATGTCAATAATTAGGTTAAAGTTGCATTATTGTGTCTCTCTCTCTCTCTCTCTCTCTCTCTATATATATATATATGTATATATGTGTGTGTGTGTGTATATATATATTATATTCAAGTGGGTTAAGAGATAATAACTAATTATGAATGTATAATAAAAGTAATAGATTTTCCTAAATAAAAAATTATATTATTTAAATTAAATAATTAAATACTATATTATTTTATAATTCGTTAAATTAACACATACTCTGATACTATTTTTAAATTCGGAGTTCATATACAATTTGTTATAGCAATTTCTTGCACACGAATCACTAATTACTAAAAATTTAAATTTAAAATTTTATGTAAAATTTAATAATTACATATTTTTTAGACTTAAACTTTATTATTAGAGTTCAAAGTGTTACAAACTGTTGTTATAAACACAGAGAGGTTAATTAAATAATTTAAAATATCAATAAAATGTATATTTATTTATTATAATTAGTTTTAAAGCTTTTATTTTAAATTTTTTAAATAAAATATATTAAAGTCAAAAGTGGCTTTAAATTTTTAGATCATTTGACCAAAAAAAGAAAAGAAAAAAAATGTGTATTACACCTAATTTTAACTAACACACAATCAGTAAGCTTTTTTCTTTTTTCTTTTTTTTTGTATTATCACAGTGGTAATAAGTGGTAGAAAAATAAATGCTACATACATAAATATCATTATACATACATACATATATATATATATATATACATACATGCATACACATATATATAAACACATCAATGAGAAATTTGACCAATCTGTGAGATGAACTGGAGGAGGGTCAGTGTGATGATGAAGATGATGATGATCATCATCATCAATTGGTCAAAATGTATTTGAATGAAAATTGAAGTAAGTAGACTTGGAGTTGACTTTGACTACGATGAACATAGAAGTTTAATCTTACAAATTATTTTTAATATTTTTGAATTTTATTATTATTAAATTTCTACTATTCATTTGTAATTTAATTTTTGGTGCAACTGCAAGATTCTCATAGTGATTTTAAATTTTAATAATATCATAGGGTTTAAATCTAATTTTACAATCTTAAAATTGGTCGAGACGTACGTTATATGATCTCGCAACCTCTTGAGACTAAAACACGTACTCATAATTTTTGATGCATTCTTAAATTTTGAATTTGAATGTTATCTCAAATCCTGTTACATTCTTATATTGTAAAATTACAGTGTTAGAATTTGAATACTGTTCCCATTACCACAATAATATTTTAGAATTATAACAGTATCCCATAATTTAGATCATATATATATATATATTTAATTTTGGCAAATATATATTGTTTGAGCATACAATTTTCTCTAATTTCTGTTTATAATATATATATATATATACCAATTACGTACATTACCCAAAACTTTGTAAATATAATTATGAGCTCAATTGATACTAACTAAAAAGAGATGAAGGTTTTGTGGAGGATTCAAAGTACACAAAGATTTGGTTAGTTTGATTTCCGGCTGCTAAAGTTTTCAATTGCTAAAAGTTGCCAATAAAATAATGTTGTGGTGCACGTGATTTGACTTCCTAGTTGTAATAATTCTTTAAAAAAAAAAAAAAAGAGAAAAAAAAAACTTTGTTGGGTATATATATATATATATATATATATAATACTAATAATAATTGCAAACAAGTGTTGTTGAAGTCACTTTCTTGTGGGTTAAAGTGTAATCTTAATTAGCATAGTAAAAATTCAACGTATCCAAAGTTTTGATATTAAAGAAAACTGTAATGAATAAGATAAATTAAGATTTTAAATATCACTAGTACGGTACGTTTGTTAGGTAACACACTTATATTCTATTTAAAAATTATGAGTTTAAATTTTTTTTAAAGATATAAAATTTATTACTTGATCTATAATACTTGATTCTGTAAAAATTGTAAAGGTACGAAACTTAAATGTTATAAATTAAATGCAAATGCGAATGCCCAATAAGATTATAAGAATGTCTATTCTAAAAAAATAAATAAAAATTAAAGAAATAAACGAAAGACAAATAAGTAAGACGACATTTACTAACTCTTGAAAGGAGTCTGGGTGGTGAATTATTCACAATTCCTTTGTTGATCGAGATTTGAATCTTAGTCTTTTTTTATCCGAAATAGTTAATGAAGGGGTGAGTTACACTATCACAGTAAAATATCACACTAATCACAGATATAAAAAACTGAAAATTGGTAAAAAATTCATTTACTATAAAGAAAACTATTTATTTCATATTGTGTAACAAGTCTTTCTCAACAATAACTTATGAAAACTTATATTCATACATTATTATTTATCACATATAAGATAACAAGAAATGATCATTTTATATTTTTACCCACTTATCAGTACCACTGGGAGTCCATAAGGATATCCTTCTACTCGTGAACCCAATTTTCAATTAAACAATTAACCAGCCGTCCCCACACCCCGTCCGGTAATAGGCGCCAAACATTCTACCACCTCGATACCTCGTTTGATATGAAGGTGAACCATATCTTCCAAACTTTACTAGTAAGGGACTTTCCAGCCCCATCCGACTGAATTAACGTTTACGGTAGGGATCCATATGTACCGGACCCGTCCACCATTTTTTAGTACCTAGTAAGTTTTTCCCATACAGATTTCCATCAGTATAACAATCAACTATGCAACAACCATATTTCATTTTATACTCACCGTTAACTTAAATAACAATATAGTTTAACACAGCCAAATAGCCAATAACCAGAATACCGGCACACAATGCAGGAGAAACAAATAACAAAATAACCAAAAAGACCATAAAAATTATCAATTAAGTTACGCACAGTATAATAATAAACAAATATAGGCAATATAGAAAATCAAAACAACTGTGAACTAACCAGTTCCGGTTTCATTAGTGACCTGTAATTATTTTTAGAGTTATCTAATTTTTCATAAAAATACACAATTATTAATTATTAAGCTTCAATTTGCCGTAACAGAAAAGAATAGCGAGAGATTTTTACCCGAATCGGTATTCGAAATATTGAATTTTCTACTGCATCCACTGGCGATATTTTATGACGATTAAATTTTTTTAATTAAAATAATCACATATTTAAAAAAACCGATTTATCATTATTATTATTTTGAAAAGAGAAAAGATTGGAGCCACTTGGTTAAGCCTCCATTAATTTCCTGGAGTTCAACTAATCAGCAATACTTTTTGGATGGACTTTTCCAGCCTCAAATCCAATTTTCTTCTTCCTTTTTCTTTTTTTTGCCCACTTACTACATATTTTTTAATCACTCAAAGAATGATTTAGATTAGTTTAATAAGTAATCACACAAATCTAGGAAAAAGTAAATGTTGATGTGAGAATTTATTTATGATATGTCACTCTAATTTACTAAATTACAAAATGTTTTTTTTTTTTTTAAATATAATATGCCACTCTAATTTCAACTTACTTTGTTGATGATATATATAAACAATTTAATTTCAAAAAATTAGTATATTATATTTAATTTTACCCTATTACTTTATACATGTAAAAGAATTAAAAGGACAGTTCAACAAAACAACATGAAACCTAGCACTATGCGATAAGTAAAAGTAATTGTTATCAAATGCTTTAATATTATGGAATCTAAACATCTTACTTATCCGAAAGCACTATGCGATACAAACAACTCTTAATATTTACTAAAACAACATGAAACCTAGCACCCGGGACATTCATTCCACTTGAACCTATAAGAGCCAAAATTGTTAATCCAACAACACCATGGATCAAAACTCGAATACTTTTCGAGTTTCATTTTCCCGAGAAAATTTCGGTATCTTACTCTGTTGACTTCAAAGGACATGTCTATAGAGGGAAAAGATCAAGAAGATAGAAACTGCCTGACACTGTAGATTCTTTAGTGGATGTTTTTCAGAATTAGGAATTCAACTCCTACCACCAAAATTCAGGGTAAGTGAAATGGTAACTAAAACATAAGAAAATATATTTTAATCAAACATATCAAAACTAATACTTGGATGGAAAATAAGCCAAACACTGCATGCTAGTCTTTCACAAGATGAGAGAATGTTTAATATCCGGAATGTGTAAATCAGAATATAGACATAAAGGAAAACCATATGTAGTTCCAAAAAAAGAGCATTAAACTTTTGGAATCATGAAAAGGTATCTACTTAGAGTACATCATGACTAACTTGAACAATATGTGATTTTACATGAACACGTCATTCATGTTAGCTGCTTATCTTTTGTCAGACTTCACAAAATAATTAGTCCAAATTAGGTTCAGTATCACCTGATCGGATCAATGTAAAGAATGCATTTTCCTAAAAAATATCCAACACAAGTTTAAACGGCAAGTTATGGAACATGACACTGCTCCCTACTAATTGGAGCCCTAAATTTTCTAAGCTGAAAATATCCTTCGTATATCTAGTCTCCAAATTGGTTCAAGAAAGAAACTTCTCATGTTAAAAAGAAATCTTACCTAAGACTAGTAGATATTACCATGCAAAACGGCTTCCTGTACCATCAAGAAACCGATCAGTATGCCATCCTTTGGCCTGAAGCTCAGATAAAAATGGAGTGAACGTGTCATTCATCTTCTCATAGGCACATTGCAAGATAGAAACTATTGGCTTGTCAGAAGACTTCTTCATGTCAGCAGCATATGCAGCAACTAACCATCCTCTCAATGCATCTTCCCCAGTAGCATCATGCTCCAATATCAAGTCACTCCATCTATTTCCAGGATATAGTAGAAATTTTTCTTCGCGGAGTATCTGTTTCAATTTATCAAGTTGTGAAGGCTTGACAACCTTATGCAAAGCCCTGCCCACTGTTACATTTCCAGAATCTTCTATTAGTCTACCAGGAAATAGCAGATCTTCCTCGTATCTAAGATCAGCAGGACTTGATATTTTCCCTGTCTGAGCTGGTTGCAATAAGAGCATCAGAGCAGATGGACAAACAAGGAACTATGAATCAATAATTTGAAAATACTGCACAAACCTTGGCAAAGTTAGCAACAACCATTGCAGTCCTTTGTGGGTTCAAAGTATTGACAGGAGCAGCTCGCATTTCTTCTATCACACTGTATATGTGAACGGCAGAAAGAATGGGGCCGACAACTAACTGCAGAAATTAGACAAACTACAGTTTCAGTTTATAGGAGAAAATAAAATTCTGAGGAAAATTCCTTTCTTTGTTTCTAATTTCAGCTAGAGTTGTAAATTCCTATGAACGTCTTACACATAGTGGATCAATATTTGGTTGCTATGAAGCAAATACAGAAGTTTCAACATTCCAAAATTTCTAGATTCTCTTTCTTTCCTTATTATCCTAATATGGAGAATAGAATACAGAAGAAAATGAAATCAAAAGATAATCAAGAAGAATAACTATTAGAATGAGTAAAGGACACCTCTCTCTTTGTCAATCTCATACCGTAATTGTCAAGTTAGATTTTTGTTATTATTTTTTCTATTATTATTATTATTATTGTTATGCTTACCTAGAATTTAGAAAAATACAAAACTTGAAAAAATAAAATAGGTAAATAAATCATAAAGATAAGATTAATTAAACTTTAACAAAATGTTTTCTAGATCAACTCAAATGAGACCAAAATATGTTATGTTCTTATTCCGTCAAAAGTTCATCCCAATTTAATATTGATGGTTCAACTTTCTCTTAAAGCCCAACAAATGTCCATCCCATCCCAACTTTAACGGCTAGGTAGTAAATTGTATAATAGCTTGTAAAGTAAGGGGTTTTAAATTCAAACTTAGAAAGTGGATTGTATCTATTTCCTAAAAGCTCAGGAGATTTCTGTTGAGACCTGGTTGCAACTGGAGAAAAACAAGCAGAAAAACACAGAATATGCAGGAGGAGGAGAAAAATGAAAACAGGTGCAAAGAATCACAACCTGTGAGGGTCTACACGTGTCAGAGCATAGAGCTAAATTGGTTTCCTCACCCATAAGGTATTGAGGGCTACGTGGTGGCCATCCATGGCGACTGGAAAGACATGGGTCAAGATCGCTGGAGGGGTATTTAAACCTCTCAAAAACCCTATTTTGCAGAACCCGACTGATAGGAACCTTATCCAGTCTTGATCACTTTTCAAGTTCAACTCTATGATAAAAGTTAATCTGCAACTTAAATAAATTTTAGAGCTTGTCAATAATCATTTATTGATATATAAGTTTATATTTCTTTGTTGAAAGAAGCTCATACTAATATATATATATATATATATATATCTGTGAGGAGAGACGACAGCAAACTCTCTCCAGCCAAAGGAGTGAACTTTTGATAGGATTGAAGAAACCAACCCAGCTGAAGAATCTCTCTCAACGGCAGCAAACCAGAAACATGGGCGCCGGTGCAGCCATCCCACGATCTGCTCTCCATCAACTTCCCACTTCTGTAGTTGTTGTATTTTTGTTTTAATCTTTATCTATTTTCTTTATTATTATCTGCCTTAGAAGTAGGAAGAACGGTTGTTTCTTTTTTGTATTTAAAGCATGCTCATCATGAATAACAGGAAGATCAAAAATTTTCCAGAAACCTCTTTCGTATTTTTCTTACCATAAGCAGAAAAACTTGAATCTTTTCTAGTAGCTCTGACTGGGACCTATCAATGGTATCAGAGCTAGATTAAAAATCAACAAAACAAACAACAATGGTGTCGAACAAGGAACGGATTGAGAACTTCAAAGCCAGGCTAGGCGGCTTGCAGGACAGCATGAGTCATCTGGAAATGGGTATGGCAAATAAGTTGCTGTTGATTGAGGAAAACTTGCAACGTCTCACCGACACTGTGATATCAAGTTGCGAAGGCTCCCCCAACCATTCCCTACGGCGATCTAGGCCATCACGGCCGAACAAGGAAGAAAGAAGCAAACAGCCAGAAACAGATCGACAGGGGTTCTACTCGAAGCTTGCTAAGCTGGATTTTCCGATGTACACAGATGACGACCTTATGGAGTGGTTCAACAGGATTAAACAGTTTTTTGAGTTCTAGGGTACCGCCGACCGTCACAAAGTCTCCTTGGCTGCCTTCCACCTTGAAGGGGAGGCCAATCAGTGGCAATGGATGAAAGAGCATACAGGGAAGAGGGCCGAGAGGTGACATGAGTCGGGTTCACAGATAAGCTGTGGCTCGTTTGGGCTACGAAGTGTGAGGATTCGATGAGTCCTTATCCAGATCTGTCAACTGGGCTCGCTCAGAGACTACCATAAGGAATTCGGAAAGTTGGGCAATCGGGTTCAGGACTGGACTCAAAAGGCCCTCATAGGGACCTTCATTGGGCGGGCTCGAACCCAAAATAGTAGATGGAATAAGGATGTTTAAGCCCAGGACCCTGAAGGATGCAATAAGTCTAGCCCACATACGCGAAGAACAGTTGGGCCGCTGAAACAACGTTAAGACTGTGGCAGAAAAATTTGTAGACATGGTATGCCTAGCTCTATAATTAGTGACAGGGATCAGGTCTTTACCAGCCGCTTCTGACAAGAGTTTTTTAAGTTGTTTGGCACCCAACTCCGAATGAGCTCCTCCTACCATCCACAAACAGATGGACAGTTAGAAGTTGTGAACTGCAGTGTGGAACAATATCTACAATGCTTAAGCCACCAACAACCACGCAATTAGAGTTCTCTCTTTCCTTGGGCTGAATTTTGGTACAACACAACCTACCACTCCTCTATCAAGATGGCACCTTTTCAGGCCTTATATGGGAGACCGCCGCCGCCCATTCCCCGTTATCAAACGGCTCAACCCTTGTCAATGAAGTTGACCAACAGCTTTGTAACCGAGATGCCCTCCTCAAACGACTTCGAACTAATTTACAAGCGGCCAATAGTCGCATGCAAGCTACTGCCAATGCCCATCGACGTGAAGTCGAATTTCAGGAGGGCAATTGGGTCTTTCTCAGGCTCCGACCATATCAGCAGCAAATGGTTTTCAAGAGAGCCTTCCAGAAGCTCGCATGTCGATACTATGAGCCTTCTCAGATCCTCCGTCGTATTGGCCTCGTTGCTTACAAGCTTCTACTTCCACAAAGGTTGCATATCCATCCCGTTTTCCACGTCTTCATGTTAAAAAAACATATTAGTGAAGCAATTGCCCCTATTGAAAATCTGCCTGAAATATCTGAAGATGGGGACCTACTGTTGCAACACCAAACTATTTTGGAAACCCGATGGATAAAAAAGGGAGCACAATTTGTTGAAGAAAGTCTTGTCCAATGGAAGAATTTGCCCCTAGAAGAAGTTATCTGGAAAAATAGCAGCGAACTAACAAATAAAATTTGGCTCCTTGAACCTTGAGGACAAGGTTCCTACAAAAGAGGGAGGCAATGATACAACCAGAAGATCAGCAAGGATCCCAATCAAGAACCCCAAGTATCTTTGATTCTTGTATCGTTGAAGCAAGCAGAACTTCCTCAAGACCCAGTCAACTATTCAGCATGTATCATCTGTTTTTAATTTATTTCTACCATTATCTTATCTTTTGATTTGTTAAGATTATTTGGTATTTGTTGAGATTATTTGGTTGCTACTAGCTGTTGTGCTCCCTGGATAGCAGGGAGAAGTTGTTGTTTCCCTTCCTATTTAAAGCTCCATCAGATTATGGATGAGGCAAGTATTAATTAACAAGAAAATTGTGATTTTTCTATCCTAAAAATAGAAGCTTTCGTTTGCAATCCTTCTTGTGTTTTCTGGGCATCTATCAGCCGCCAAAGCAGACTAAATTAGGCGGGGCAGACTCAACCCGACCAGCAAGCAAACTCCTTACCTAACCAATCCCCGCGAGGCCTAGTAGCGACAGCCATTGTTCCCAAGCGGTTATTATGAGAAGAAGCACAACGCCAGCGAACACAAGGTTTGTGCTTCAACTGTGACGAAATATTTACAGTCGGCCACAAATGTTGCCAACCCCAGCTACTACTTCTGGAACGCGACGAAGAAGAAGAAAACGCCGAGCCCCCAAAGCCTGGATAAAAAGAGGAGCTCGAGAAGCCTCGTCGAGTGGAGAGATCGAAGGGCCTAAGTGAATATATATATACACACACATATATATACATACCAGAAGAAGAAGCCACATGGGAGAGCACCGTAGAATGGCAACCGCAAGAAGGAATTGACAATCTGAACCTTGAGGACAAGGTTCCTCTTAATGGGGGGAGTGATGATAGGACCGTTATCTAGTCTTGATCACTTTTCAAGCTCAACTCTATGATAAAAGTTAATTTGCAACTTAAGTAAATTTTAGAGTTTGTCAATAATCATTTAAATTTATAATTTTATGTTTCTTTGGTTTATATAAAAAAAAAAAGTTTATGTTTCTTTGTTTAAAGAAGCTCATACATATATATATGTATATATGTATATATCTATGAGGAAACAGGACGGCAAACTCTTTCCAGCTAAGGGAGTGGACTTCTGATACGACTGAAGAAACTGACCCAGCTAAAGAATCAGTCCAACCAGAAACATGGGCGCCAGTGCAGCCATCCTGCGATCTGCTCTCCATCAACTCCCCACTTCCGTAGTTGCTGTATTTTTGTTTTAATCTTTATATATTTTCTTTATCATTATCTGCCTTAGAAGTAGAAAGAACGGTTGTTTCTTTTCTGCATTTAAAGCATGCTCATCATGAATAAAAAGGAGATAAAAAATTTTCCAAAAAACTCTTTGATATTTTTGTCACCATAAGCAAAAAAACTTGAATCTTTTCTTGTAGCTCTAACTGGGACCTATCACCAACACTTCTTCCATCTTCATTTGGTGAACCTCGGGTTTCTTGCATTCTTTCAGCTTCTACCGTGGCAATTGGCGCTCTAGTAAGATTGTTCATACATCATTTTGTGTATTTAAGCTTTCCATTGGGCTTGAATATGACAACTAATCAATCAAAAGTATTTTCATATACTCTCAGTCTCTCTTTCTCTCTTTCACTCTCCCCCAGTGTTCTTCTTTCTCACCTCTCTACAGTCTTCTTTTCTCTCTCCCTCTTTCTCTCTCAACAATCTGTTTCTGCTATCTATGCAACTCCCATCTCTCTTAACTTTGTGAGTTACCCACAAATACATGTCATGGGTTCTTAACAACTTGGTATCATAGCAAGTTGAATCTGAGGAGGCCCTTGCAAACCTCGTGGCTATATCAAAGAACAAAGAAAAGTCGTTTCCAAGCCCCATAAAGTACAAACTCTAGAAGAAAATATTTTTGAAGTGGACCATGAGTCCTAATCGATAAAAAGACGACTCTTTTCAGTCATCAGATGGAGAAGCTCACCAAACTACACAGTGGTGCATGGCTGAGTGAAATGCTTGCAAAAGTAAGTCCTTCTGCCTCTGTCTTGAACATGGATAGAAGATCATTGCCAAACCCTAAGTCTAGGGAAGCTGGAGCCAGTAGTGGTCCAGGGTTGAAGGGTAACCTCATTGGAAACTGTACCCAAAAACTGAAATATCTCAGTTTTGAAGGAAAGAAGTCTAGAATCTGGAATACGAGAAACACTAAACACTCACAAGAGTTTAATTATGAAAATCCAGCATTGCTAGAACTTGAAACTATAGCAAACAGGAGTTTTGCACTTGAAAACAAGTGCAGTTTTTCAAGACAGGAGTAATATTATAGGTAATATTATGATGTATTAGGGAAAATAAATGATGTGTTAAGTAGGTGGATAAGTGCATTAGGAAGAATAGGTCAGTAAGCGTTTTGTGCAAAATGATGTGTTGAGTATGAACGTATATTAAGGAGAATAAGTCTAGATAAGGACAAGAAGATAGTTAGTTCTGAAAATAACTTCCAAATGACTGCTCTTTCTCTTCTATAAGACATGTTGTCTTTGAAAAATTTTAGACATGAAGAAATTTATGAAAAAGTGTTGAGTACTTTCTTACTTAAGAGATTGTCGGGTTTTTTTTCTTAACGAGTCCATACTATTAACAAAAAAATAACTCATACAAAGGTTAAAAAGCCGCTATATCTCGCGATTTTAAAAAAGAATGACTTGGAAATGGTTGCAAAAACCATTCTCATATATGAGCAAAATACACGAGTCTCTCCTCCCAGAATCATATCAAAGGATTTTGTTTCAATGATAAGAAAAATTTGTGGCAGGGCGGAAAGGATAGCTGGACTAGCCAGCTTAGACTTTGAAGCAACAAAAGAATAAAAGATTAATACTAAAGTGTCAAATTTGATCTTCAAATCAAGAGTCACTTTGTTAGTATAGAGAATGAATAGAGAAGAAAAAAAAACAAAATGAAGATGAAGGACAGCAACTCTTAGAATAAACAAAGAATACAACTCTCTATCTCCCTGCCATTACTCAAACTTGTGACGTACAGGTATCAACATCCCAAAGTTATCTCAAAAAAAAAAGTATCAACATCCACGACTGGCTGTTTTGACAAGATACTGAAAAATGGAAGAAAATAAAATCAGAAATGAAGGGTTGCATTGCTGAACTGAAAATGGCATTCTAATTTGCTCAGGGACAGAAACCACTGGACTTTTTCCTCAGGAAGAAAAAAGGTTGCATTGTGCTTGATGCGGTTAAAAGTTACCATCAAAATGCCTTTAGATGTAAGACAGAATGCATTTTGGTTTCCAATTATCGTAAGTCATAGTGCCTTGATTTATCTCCAGTGGTCAAAATTACAATTGCACTTTTCAGGATGAAAACTAGTAAGCAGCACTTCTTTTCTCTGGAGACAGGTAAAAATCCTACTTTCCATAAGTTCCAGTTCCCATGACTGGGCATCACTTCTGACACCAAACTTTTTTCAAAGCCATACCAAATTGGTATACTTGCTTATCTGGTACAAATACTTACAGGCTAGGGTTTCAACTTTTAAAACAGTAAGCACATACACCTTGTGGTTTCATAATAATTTCCTCACAATGGTATAAAGGATCTCACCTCATGGGACTAACCATACAAATATTTCAAATTGTGAAATTTTAATGACTCGAGAAATATTGAAAAGTAACATTAGTAAATCTAGAGTGCCACATACCTTCCCCTGCATAGAGGAACAAATTGTGGATGCTAATTGTATCCCTGCCCCAAGCCCAACTACATTGAAAAGAGTTGAGATGGCCTCCCCTTTTGCAAAAAGATCACTGAGATTTCCTTCTTTGGCAAATGATGAATATATCGGCAACCTCGTTGCCCGTGCAGCAACTACGGCCATACCCTACAAATTTATAGATGAAGTGAGTAAAGAGCACGTGGGCACCCATTGGAGAATTCTGAAAAAAAAAAAATATACGTATAATATAACTAAAGAAGAAGAAGCACCTAGCAGTCAAGAACATCAAAGAGATTTGAAAAAACAAGCAAAAATAAATAAATAAGCTCTAGACAAGTTGATGCAGAACCAATAAAAAAAACAATCATTTTGAAAAATTTGACACTAGACAGAATAGGAAACTTTAATTTCCTTTATGAAATAAAGTTTCAGAAAGTCTTATAATAAAAGGAAATAGGAAGATTTCCTAATTTCTTAGTTCATTCCATTTAATTTATTTTCCTATTTTAGGTTTTCTTTGTTTATAATTTCTATTTTGATATATTTTGGTACCTAAATTAGTTATTAAGTAAACTACTTATGATTATTATTCACATACTGAGATATTGTTTTGATTATTGAGATCCGATATTTACAAGTTTTGTTCTTAATAAAATTTCTCTAAGTTTGTATTCAAGTTCTCTATGTCATACATTAATTGATATGAGAGCTTGAAATCAATACACCATGTTTCTCAAATTTTCTCAACATAAGCCTACTGCCCACTGCACCACCAGCAAGCTGTGTGAGGATTAAAACACTCCTGGAGCTGTTTTCTAAGGTTGTAGGTTACCTTCTTCCTAGAATTTTTGTCAGTAGCTTCTGCAATCCTGTTAAATTAAATTAATTTAATTTAATTTTAAGCTTGAAGTTGCTTCGTACAAGTAAGATTTTCTACTTCGAAATGAAATTAATATTTCAAATTGACTAGGCAAATCTATTCCTTCAAACATACAAATAAACCCCTTGCATTATACTTACATTTCTCATAGTTGTAACTTTATTTAGAAAAAAAAAAAAGCCACCACACAACACAGCCCCATACCCTACCTACTTTCTCTTAGCCTCCCCTTACATTTATTTGGAAAAAAAAATTTCTTGAGCCTTATTGTGCATTCTGAAGTGTTAATAGCATTATTTCTTTAAACAATTATAGCTTTCTCAGAATTTTCTTTTCTTACTATTACTTTTTTTTTCCACCATCACCTTTTCTGATCATCCTTCTTTCATTCACCCTGTTTAACTCATGACAAAAAAATCTAACAATATTGAAATCTTGAAATTAGCTGTCATAGACTAAGTCATAAAATTCAATATTAGAAAAGGCAAATTCACAATTGATGAGAATCATGAGTTCCCTCTTAAACAGCATGGGGCACATAAACATTCATTTGGCTAATTTCTCTCCCTATAAGACTAAACGAATTGGTCTACCCTTAAAGCTAAGAAAAGACCTTTACCATGACCCTCATCTATGCGGTCAGCCTCTGACCAGGATGAAATCAATCAACCTAGAGATAGATCTAGGCATTCTTCCCATCATGACTTTAGGGGAGGAAACAATCACCAACAATCTAGATACAAGAGCGAAAAGATCTCTAACATTGCCAAACGAGTCAAAATAGATGTTGAGCTATGATGGCCAACTAGATCCTAATGTCTTCCGAGATTGGCTAGTCAGCATGGAGGATTATTTTGAATGGTATCAGATGACAGGCACAGAAATCCGATTTGCTAAGATGAAATTATTTGGGTTAGCTAGAAAGTTTGGGCAAGCTGTCTAACTCAATCATGTGCACTAAGAGGAGCCCCCTATAACTCGGTGGAGTGTGATGAAACAGAAGCTCAAAGAAAAGTAATTACAACCAACTACAAGAGACAATTGGTTGACCAATTACTTAATCTTAAACAATTGACTTTTGGTGAGTGATCACATCTCTAGGTTTGAAGGATTACTGCTTATGTATGGCCTTGAATAAGAATCCTACATCACTGTTACTAGATTTATCAATGGACTAAAGGCAGACCTAAGAGAGAACTCTTGTACTACTCCCCTGAATCACTGGAAGATGCGTATATTAGAGCTTTAAAAGTTGAGAAGGACAACAAGAATCCTGTAGTCCGCCGCAAAAGCTACCAAGAGCCACGACCAACCTTATTTCAAAAAAACAAGAGCCACGGCCAACTCAAGCAATGGTACAAATAGCATTCATAGGGATGATTAATCTAGTATCTCCAACCCTCATCTTACAGCCACCAAATCTTTGTTTCTCGTCCTAGGGCCTCTTCCATAGAAACTTGTGGGTCATCTATCAATGTCATGACTGTCAATAGCGAGGACATATTGGCTCTCATTGTCCTAACCATACCCTTACCTTAGGACAAGAATGTCATGTCCCACTTGAATATGAGGACCAAATAGTTGATCCCATTGAATACTTGGTCACAATAGATGATAGTTTTGAGGTTATTGCCCATCATGCTAAAATTGTAAGGTGTGTGTTGTCTCAGGTGGAAGACAATAAGTGGAAGTGGACCAGTATTTTCATGACTTCCATAAATGTGGACCAAGATCGTACAAACTAGTTATTGACGGTGATGGCACCATGAACATAGTATTTAAAAGTGCTATATCAAGATTTAAACTCAAAGTGGAACCGCACCCTCACCCTTTTAGGGTAGCTTGGTTAGCAAAATAACCTATTACCCAATGATTCTTGCTAACAATTCAAATGGATGATTATGTTGATGAGATTTATTGTGATGTATTACCCATGAATGTGGCCCATGTATTGTTAGGATGACCACAGTTATATGATCGAGATGTGATTCATCATGGTAGGGAAAACAGCTATGCCTTCAAATAAAAACAAAGGTAAAAGAATTATCCTTAAACTAGCCAAACCTATACACAAGTAAAGAGGTTAATCCAGTGTCCCAACCCATATCTACCAAGAAGTTATATATTTTAAATCAAAAGGAGTTTGAGAAAGGAACATAGGATAATTAACGTTGGATTGTTATGATAGCTCCACATGCTTCCTCAGAGGGAAATGTGGTCAGCACAGGGGAGCCTCCCAATATTACACAATTGCTCAAAAAGTTTTCTAATGTCATTCTCAATGCACTATTGATGGATTACCTCCCATGAGAAACATCCAATATGTCATTGATCTTGTTTCCGGATCCCAAATTCCTAACCTCCCACATTTTAGGATTAATTCAAACGAGTGTGTTGAGTTAAATAGACAAGTGGAAGAACCCTTCGACAAGGGATTTGTTCGACACAGGCTTAGTGCTTGTGCTATTCCCACTTTCTAACCTCTGAAAATGATGGAACATGGAGAATGTGCATGGACAATTGAGCCATTAATAAGACATATTAGATATGTTACCAATTTTCAATTCCACGCCTTGAAGACGTATTAGATATGTTAGTAGGATCTTATTGGGTTTTCCAAAATAAACTTAGGTAATGGGTACCATCAATTCACATTAGGCCTAACGATGAATAGAAAACAACTTTTAAGATTCAAGAAGGGTTATTTGAGTGGTTGTTTATGCCTTTTGGATTGAGTGCCCCAAGTACCTTCATGACGGTCATGACACATGTCCGCCACTATTATATTGGGAACTTCCTTGTCATCAACTTTGATGATATATTGATTTACATGAAGACTCAAAGGGTGCACTTAGAGCATTTACAACAAGTTTCTTGCACCCTTAGAGATTCTAAACTCAATGCTTACTTTAAAGAAGTGTACATTTATGCAAGAACACATCTTCTTCCTAGGTTTTGCCATTCCTAAACAAGAAGTTGCAACCGATCCTGACAAGGTTAAGGTCATTTTGCATTGGCTTAAGTCGAAAACTATCTCTGAAGTGCGTAGCTTTCATGGCTTAGCCACATTTTACAAGAGATTCATCAAAGAGTTTAGTTCTATCGTGGCTTATCACAGATTGTTTGAAGAGGATAGACTTTAGATGGACCACTGCAGCCTCTAGAGTTTTTAGAGAGATTAAAGAGAAAATAACTCAAACGCCATGTTTTGAGGCATCCTTATTTTTCTAACATCTTTGAAGTCGCATGTGATGTTTCTGAAATTGGAATTAGTGAAGCTTTAGGTCAAGAAGGACATTGTGTGGCATTCTTTAGTGAGAAATTCAATGAAGCCAAAGAAAAACATTTTAGTTATGATAAGGAATTTTATGTTGTAGTCCAATCTCTTCACCAGTACGTATTATCTCCTCCCATAAGAATGTTCTATACTTTGATCACTTAGCACTATAATACTTAAGTTCTCAAAAGAAATTAAAATCAATGCGCCCTAAGTGGGTCAAATTTTTATTTGTTCTTAAACATCACTCTGGTGTTAAGAATAAGATGGTTGATGCACTTTAATAGATGGGTTTGCACCCCTTGGTGCTTATAGTTAATGGGAAATTAATTTCCTTATTTAAAAAAAAAGGTGGTATATGCCCTTAGCCAAGCCTCCGTTATCCTCCACAATTTTTTTTTCTTGAAATAAAAAGTATTGTATGCATCATTAATTACAAGCACCAAGTAATCAATCTATATACGAAAATATTTGCATGTCAATTAAGATGTCGATAAAGTTTTCAAAATTCTCCATAGAATACAGAGAATGACCCCTAACCAAAAAATTCAAGGTCTGCAATCATCTATCTCTAAACCTATAGAAGTCATCTTCCACTATCTCAAAAACTCTCATGTTTCTTTTTTGTTACACCACCCAAAACATAACAAAGGGAATGGGACATATATTTCTTCTCGCCACTAATACCTTTACAGACTCAAATCTCATCCCTCAGTGTATCAGCCATTACCTAACTAATTCCTAAGAACCCATAAGACATGGTTCATAACTTGTATGCAATTGGGCACCAAAGTAGGATATGATTACAAGACTGCTTCGCCCTCCTGCATAGAGAATAGTCGTTCACTGTAACTTTTTCCTTCTCATTAACTCATTAATTGTGAGAATATATCTATGTGTTTTAAGCAAAGAAAGCAACTCTGGGAGGAGCATTCACCTTCCAGATTTGCCAAAAAAGAAAACTTGTCTCTATGGAGTCATTTTTTACCAAATAATTATAGAAAGACCTACCGTGAATCTCCTTGCGGAATTAAGGTGCCAGACCGGTTGGAAATTACTCCAGTTCAGAGAGGCAGAAGATAGTGAACTGAGGAGAGTCTTATACTCCTTAATTTCTCAATCATTATCCTCCACACCATGAGCACACAATTAATAGGTTTTGACAAATTGAAAGACGAGTACTCCACTTTTCCGAACTTTGGATTAATTTATAAGGAGATTCAGGAGGGAAACCGCTGGAACCATATTGATTTTGTTTTTCATGATGATTATCTCTTTAAAACTACTCAAGTATGTATCCATCGTACATTCCTTAAGGACTTTTAGTGTGGAAAATGCATGTTGGGCCCTTACAGGTCAATTGGGATGTGAGACCATTACTCTCATGGAAGATAGGTTCTATTAACTTCCTTGAAGCAAGCTGTCTTTAGAGTAGCGTCTCAGTGTCGTACTTCTCAATTAGGAAAAGCAAAGGAAAAGAATACTGGTCTCTATACCCATTTACCCATTCCCCATAAATCGTAGCAAGAAATAAGTATTGATTTTGTTATTGGCTTGCCTAAAACAACCGTGCACATGATTCTGTGTTGGTGGTGGTTGATAGATTTTTAAAAATTGCCCATTTCATTCCATGTAGTAGAGCAATTGATGCTTCCTGTATTGCCAAGTTGTTCTTCTGTGCAGTTAAACTTCATGACTTGCATTCATCCGTTGTATCCACTGGAGATGTTAATTTGTTAGTTACTTCTGGAAGACCCTTTGGAAGTTATGTAGAACAACTTCAAAATTCCCGTCTGCTTTCCATCCTCGGATTGATGGTCAAACTGAAGCAGTCAATCGAAGCTTGGGAGAGCTACTCTAGTGTTCGGTAGGGGAGAAACAAGGTAATTGGTACTTGGGTTTATCAATTGCTAAATTTGCCTATAATAACTCTGTTAACAGATCAGCTGGTAAAGAGTCTTTTTGAAATTATTCATAGCTATTCCCCTCGCACCCTAACAAACCTTCCCCCACTATACCCTCACAGTAAAATTTCTGAGTCTGCTGAATCATTTGCTAAACGCACTCATGATTTACACGCTGAGATTAGGCGAAAAGTTGCTTTGAGTATATGGACCATAAATCGCTGCCTGATTTGTACCGTAAAGCTACACAATTTCATGCTGGTGACATTGATATGAGTATCCGCCCTGAACAATATCCTAAGAGTTCTGTCAAGAAACTACATGCCAGAGCCCTTGTCCCTTTTCCCGTTATTCGACCTCTTAGATCTAATACGTTAATTGATTTGCCCATTCATATGAATATTAATGATGTTTGCAATGTGGGAGATTTAACACTTTGTATTCAAGCTCTCTTTGTTCACAAGTTCATATCAGATTTTAATTCATAGAATGCTATTAACCGTGGAAGTAATTCTACCAATTTAAAAGGGGAAATTTTTCTGAAAGGAAAACACAAAAAGGAGGCACACAGCACACCAACTTTCTTATAGAAAAACAAGAAAGCATTATACCTTCGCAAAATTTCCAAGGCCTGCCATTTCAAGAAAAAGATGCGGACTTAAGGGAGAGAGAACTTCCAAGCCAGTGCCCAAGTCATAGAGGACGTCGGCTGCATGACGGAAACTTTCTCATGGTTAAGAAGTCATAGATACTACCAATCCAGACTCCAGTGCATCCAAAAGACATGCAGATGCACACATATGAATGCTCAAGCACAGACAATGTGGCCAGATACAAGTCTTGAACAAAAGCACACATAATGAGGACAATACAAACCTAAAATTCTCCATCGTTTTGGCTCAGAGTCCATTCTTGCACCCAAGTTACTACATATTAGCTTCCCTACATGTTGCATGCCATCTTTTAATATCTGCATACAAACATACAGACAGAAATTCTTTGAATGCGCATGCAATTACCACAAGTTAGTGTGAACAAACCAATTAAGGACAACTCACCCAACTCACAACAGTTGCCTGAGCAGGAGTTGGTCGCAAGCCTGCAGCAAATAAAAGTGACTGCAATGGAGTAAGAATATAGGAGAAATGACCACCATGCATGCAAAATGAAAGAACAGTATAGAGAAACCAATAGCCGTTCTATACCAATAATTATGGTGGCAAGAAACTGAATTTGAACAAAGCATCATATTAGGGAAAAAGAAATATCTGAAGTCAAGCACCATACATGATAAAATGAAAAAGAAAATCAGCAGTATGATTATGAACTACTTCCATGGTACTTAGCAGGTTTCAGAAGAAGACCTGAGTTGATAACACAGATAATGCTGCACTTGAAAAATGCTGCAGTGCCCGAAATTGTGTGTACCGGAGATATCCCTCATTCACACTGTAAAGGAAAAACCATAGAAAACCTAACAATGAAAAGCAAAACTTCCTGGCTTCAAATTCCTTCTTTCTAATATAAAACCTTACAATTCCAACAATTACAAGCCAAATAGATTACCTGTATGGATATCCTGAGGGGAAAAACTTATTTAGAAAGGATTCAACCATCCTGTGTGCTATTGCTCTTGTGTCACCAACAACTCTAACCTACAAACAGAGGTGTGCATGTCCATTACCAGGTCAACTTAGAAAAAAACCAACTAGAAACCAATACAAAAAGATTTAAGCCAATTCCAAATGTACAGATCGAGAGACAGAGAGAGAGAAAGAGAGAAAAGAATTTATGTATCTTGAATTACTGAGTATATATACAACCGAAGGTGAGCACATGTGTGCTGCACGTAGGTAATAAACCAATCCTCAGCAAAATACTAACTGAAAGTATTAAATTAATTACACTTAATACCAAATAACTATTCTCATTCCACTGCCAAAGACTACAGACACCAACAAAGTGTGCACGTGTATATATAACATCAGGTAAATATAACATCAACACAGAACTGGGCATTACAGCATCAAGTAAGGTTACCAGAAAAGAAAGAAAAAAACGAGATCATCATCTGAAATACCAATGTAAATAAGAAACTATATATCCAGATTACATGGCACGGCAGCTCAAGCACATCATAAGTTCGCAGCTAATATTGCTTAAACCACCGAATAGTAAAAAACTATACTGGCCATTTGATTCAGTTCCCACTCTATTGGGTCCCTATACTTAATTTATAAAAATATTCCTAGAATTAAGACGTTCTTTTTTCACATCGAATTGTTTGTGTGTCGAATTTTCATTTTTGTTTGAAGTTCAGTAGTTGGAGGTAACAGTATAAAGTCAGTCAAACATAAAACTTATACTGTAATTTGCCACTAAGACTAATTCATACTGAACATAAGAAATCAATAATGACGTTCTGTAACCGAATCGAAACTCAAAGAACCTTAAAATCAAAAAGAAAAAGGAAAATTCCAATGGCATTTGTACGCAAATTGTACAATAACTACATTGGCAGCTCACTACAAGACATTAACAGTGATATATGACAGAGAGGAGAGAGAGAGAGAGAGAGAGAGCGTACGGATAGGTGACCATCGGGTTCGAACTGGAAGCAACGAGAGATAGAGTCGGAGGTTTCTAGCCAGGAGAGCGGAGTGTCAACCATTGTTGTGTTTTTTTCTTGCTCCTTCTTCCACTTTATCTTCTCCTGTAATTTTTTATTGC